ATCGCGCCAAACTAGCTGGCCGATGCGCGCGCGAGCATGCGGGGGCTAGCGTGGCCGCAGCGATGCACCAACCAACACCTAGCACTCATCGCAATCGCCGCCGCCTGGGTTTTGCAAGCCAAGTTGCGGGTGGGTGGGTGGGATGGTTGCGCGACGAGTGCAGTTCACAACTCACTACGAACAGAAAGTAATTGCACCACGTGTATTGCATCACATAGGTTGCGCAACATATATTCCTCCACACAGATAGCGCCACATATGATACTAGAAACAAACTGTTTGTGGTTCGCGCTGGCTGACACATTCTGATGGAGTAGAGAAGCCTGACTACATAACTTGATACGACTCGGCCTTGACGGCTGTGTGATTCAATCGGTCGATCGTCGATCTTCGACCTGGCAAACTTGACTACCACTCCTACTCCTATTCATCGTGCTCGCCCGCATGGCAGGTTCCGCTGAAGCGGGGGGGGGGAACAGCAGAGGCTGGACGCCCGCGACTAGCTCCCGAAACCTTTTCCTCCTGCTCCCCACGCCTTCCTCCTCCTTCTCTTGGGCATGCCGCGGCAGCGGGCGCTCGAGGCGTCAACCTTCCTCCTCCTCCCGCTCCTCTTCACACTCTCCGACCTCATCTCCCCAATTCCCCCTCTCACCGTCCCGGTCCCCAACAACGCGTTCATGCAGGATGCGACTTGCCGCGTCTTCCTGACGGTGCTGGTTCCGGCGCTGGTGCTGAGCCGATGCTGCGTCTGCTGCTGCAACGCCTGATGCTGCTAGACTCTGCTAGACCTGCCCATCCAATATCTTACCGTCCCTCCAACTGCTCTGATGGCAATCGACTCAACGCCCACCTCAGCCAATCACGAGCTTGAACTGTCTTGTGCTTCGCGCTTGTCAGCCCTGCAAAGGGCAACGAGAAAAGAGCAACAGCATCTATCTAATATATATATATATATGTACTAATACATATATATATATATATATATATATACTGAAGGGGGGCTGAGGATGCCTCGGAGGAGGAGCAGGCAACGGACATACTCTCGATCACTGCTACGAACCACACGGCCCAACTCGCTTCAATCTCAAGTGAATTCGGCTTGCACGGCATACACGCAGAGACCAAAAACGAGTTCGGCGCACATGCGTCGCCGCGCTGTTTGTTCTCGACGCGCCCAAATCGACGACGCCGACACCACGGAAAGCCCACGGCAAATCTTGCGTCTCGCGCCCTGCGTAGATAAACGAAGCCGGCACCGCGGCAAATCCACGGCGAACCCACCGCGTCCGAGGCGGCGCTTGCCCTGGTGGCCGAGGCGCCCTCCCCACGACTGAGGTCGCGCGTCGGAGCAAACGGCGACAGGTGATGCGGAGCCACGCCACCTCAGAGAATGCGAGCATCGGGGGAGGGAGGAGGGCTCATTGTGGAGACAACGGCGGCTCTCCCGCTGGGGACAGGTCCGCTCACAATCAATCCCCTGGCCCTTCTCGGGGCCCATCCTGCCGCACTTCTCGAGGCGCATCCAGCCGTGGCGACGAGACGCCCCCAGGAGGCCCCCCACGGACAACGCCAGTTAATCCCCTGACCCCTCTCGGGGCCCTGGGCTGACCCAAACATCCGACGTCATGATTTGTTCATAACGTCGACCCCAAACAAATTCGATCCTTTCCCCAGGACCAGTTTCGCGTCCTGCGTCGTTTTCTGACGGTCCCGAGGCCCGGTGCGGGCCTCCAGGGGGGCGAAAACACTGCAAAACAACCCGTCGTAATTTTCTCATGATTCGATGGGGGTCTGGGGATCCAGCCGTGGTGACGAGACGCCCCCAGGAGGCCCCCAGAGAGCACGGAGACAATGCGCCACGGAGGAGGAGGAGGCGGAGGAGGAGGAGGAGGAGGCGGAGGAGGAGGAGGAGGATAAGAAGGGAAGGGGGAGGAAGACGAGGAGGAGGCGGAGGAAGAGGAGGACCAGAGTAATCCCAAGACTCCTCAATTACATTAAAATGAACCCTCCCTCCAAGTTCCTTCTTCATGAGCCCCTAGAGGGATTCGTTTTCACTGGGGGAAATACCCCGTTGGAAGACGCCCGTTCGAACATCTTCAACTGTGCCAGAACACGCTCCCTGGGACTTCAACGCCGCGAATCACTGTTACTGTTGTGTCTAGACGATCCCGAATCGTGCCAAAACACACCTCCTGGGACCCCAGCGCCGCGAACCAAAATAACTGTTGCACCCTAACCGTCCGACATTGTGCTAATACCTAATTTCTGTGACGCTGGCCATGGGAATCCTTACACTCTTGCGCATGCTTCATGGAATGTGCGCGGCGCTGAACCGAGAACCACGCTTTGAAAATCAACCATCCTCCATCATTGAAGCTCGTGCAAGCTTCTAAGACGAGTATGCGCGGCGCTAAGGCGAGAATCGCATTCTGAAAACGACTCGCACTCCATCTGTGAAATTCTTAATGTCCCCCCACCCAAGAGGCTGAGGTCGTTAGAATTTGAAAACAAACCTCCCGACCCGTCCACCCTGCATGCCGCGGCCGCCCGACCCCCAGGCTCCCGAGTATCCCGGAGAGTCCCCCCTCGCGCCCCTCTGCATACCGCGGCCGCAGGACACCCAGGCTCCCGAGAATCCCCGAGAGTCCCGCCCCGCGCCCCTCTGCATACCGCGGCCGCCAGATCCCCAGGGTCCCGAGTGTCCCCCAGAATCCCGCCTCGTGCCCCGCTGCATACCGCGGCCGCCAGATCCCCAGGTCCCCCGAGTAACTGTCCCGTTCCGCGCCGACAAATCATAACATGACAGAGCGGTGGTATAACATAGCAGAACATAGTAAAGTACATCACGATAGGCCATGACAGAGCAGCGCATAACACACCACCACCTAACATAACATATCTAACCATAACATACCAAACCATGCCATAACTTATCGTAACATAACAGACCATGGTAGAGCGGTGAATTTCATAGCACATCATCACAGCACAGAGCATTCCATACCATTGAACAGCAAGCATACCGCAAGACAACATCGCAGAACTGAGCATACCAAAACATAACATGCCGCAGCCTCATATATAACATGGCGTATCATGGCATAACATAACACAACATAACCACGCATGGTATTACATTTCGGGTCACACGTAACATGGCATAACATATAATACCGTAGCAACACATGACATGACATGTCATAACAACACATGCCATGACAGTCCACACCTTACCATTACGCATCACCACAACACATATACGATGACAGAAAGCATCGCAACACAGACGACATAACATAGCATGACAAAGCGTGACGTAACCTTATACACCAAACCAGAATCCGCCGGCCCCCTTGTGGGGCCACCAAGCGGTAGGCCGAGGATTCGCAGTTTCCTGTACCAGTTGCAGCTTCCAGTTTCCACTGTTACAATTCTGCTTCTTGCTGCTTACTGTTCCTTATTGCCTTCTTGCTGCTTACTGTTCCTTGTCGCGCGAGGGGGGGAGGCCCAAAACATGCATTTTTGTCTGAATTGCTGGGGTGGGTAAAAATTTACACCCCTCACGCAGATCGGCGGGGGCAGGGTGCAAAAACACATGTGATTTGCCACATTTCTGAGATTCGGTGGCACCCCTCACGCAGATCGGCAGGGCCAGGGTCCAAAAACACATGGGATTTGCAACATTTCTGGCATTCGGTGGCACCCCTCACGCAGATCGGCGGGGTCAGGGTCCAAAAACACATGTGATTTGCCACATTTCTGAGATTCGGTGGCACCCCTCATGCAGATCGGCGGGGTCAGAATCTTAGAACAAATGGGATTGCCACATTTCTGAGATTCGGTGGCACCCCTCACGCAGATTGGCGGGGTCAGGGTCCAAGAACACACGGGATTTGCCACATTTCTGACATTCGGTGGCACCCCTCACGCAGATCGGCGGGGTCAGGGTGCAAAAACATATTGCTTTGCTACATTTCTGAAATTCGGTGGCACCCCTTACGCAGATTGGCGGGGTCAGGGTCCAAAAACAAATGGGATTGCCGTATTTCTGAAATTCGGTGGCACCCCTCACGCAGATCGGCGGGGTCAGGGTCCAAAAACACATGATATTTGCTACATTTCTGAGATTCGGTGGCACCCCTCACGCAGATCGGCAGGATCAGGGTGCAAAAACACATGAGAGTTGCCACATTCCTGAAATTCGGCGGCACCTCTCACGCAGATCCGTAGGGTCAGGGTCCAAAAACACAAGGGATTGGCCACATTTCTGCAATTCGGCGGCACCCCTCACGCAGATCCGCAGGGTCAGGGTCGAAAAACAAACAGGTCCGGACACTGCTTCACGGCGGCGCCCAGACCTCATGACTTCGCTCTTCCATGGCCCATTCTCCGAGAGAGGGGCTGGAGGCAGGGGGCGAAGCCCTTACGGATATAACAAAGCATAACACCATAAACTATGGCACAACTGATCAGGCGGAGAAGATCATCACACCACACCTCAAACCATAGCAGAACAGAGCAGACCATGCCAGACGATGACGTTACATAGCATTCCACAACATACCATGGCAGAACAGACCACACCGTAGCACAGCATTCAAACACATACCAGTACGTAACATGACAACCCATACCATGACAGAGCGCGGCATAACACATGACAGCGTCGCATAACATGATACTGCATACCACCAACACGTAATAACGCATACCATCTCGTAACATGTCACAACAGGACATCACAGTAATCAAGTTAGCTTGCTTTTTCACTGAACCAAACGGCTATGGATACATCCCTACCTTACCTGCATCTTCCTACCTTCCCATGCTAATGATACGCTGCTGCATGAACACATGAGCACTCTGATCACCCCGCCTCGGGTCCAGGCAACAAATTGATGCCAGATCAGAAAATCTTATATAAACTGGTAGCGGAGCGGTGGCCACGGACCTACGCCAGAAAGCCCGGTTCAGGCCAGAAGTCCCTTCTGAGTCACGGCCCTGCTCGAGTCGAAGACCAAGCCGGCTGTCGTAAGCAAAGGGTCCCTCATGCCGACGGCCATCGCCTTCGTCAGAGGGTCGGCCATCTGCTCGGTAGTCCGAACCTTCACGATCCGAATGTCGCCGCTCGCCACTCAATCTTGTAGCCACAGATAACGTGTATTGACATGTCTCTGCTTGCCCAACCCTCGGCGGGTTGCGAATCCCTTCGCTGCCGCGCAGTCCGTCTTCACGTTCAAACGGATTGCAGAAGACAGCCCCCAGTCCGCCATCAGGGATTTAATGCCCAAGGCATGGGCACTGCCTTTCACTGCCGCGTAGTACTCGCTCTCGCCGACGTTCAACGCGATCGTGCTCTGCACTGTCGAACTGCTCTTGAGCAAGTGCTTCCCGAAGAAGATTGCCATCCCGCTGGTGCTCTTCCTGGTGATGATGTCCCCGGCGTGGTCTGCATCAACCCAGGCGTCTAACGAGTTTGGCATCGCCTGCTTCGGAAACTTCAGGATAGCTCTCGGCCGTCCAAGCACATAACGCCCAAGACGCTTCAGCTCCTGGAAATTGAACTCATTGGGGCTCTTCATGCTCTGTGCAAGACATTTCACTGCCTCCTGGATGTCCAAACGGTCTTGTCCAAGATAGCTTGCCCGCATAACACAGGAACGATACAGCGTCGCCTCAGAACTCGAAAGTACTCTGCTGTCTGCACCCTTCCATACGTCTGACTCAGAATGTTTCACACGTGGCGTATCTACAGATTTGGCCTTTTCTAACCCCAAGTCTCGTGCAAGAAGCTCTGCGTGCCTACGGTCTCCTTCGATCTCAATACCGTCCTCCGTGATACGAACAATCCGGTTCAAGATGCACGCCTCCTGGGAGTCACCTGCCTCCGTGCCAAGCGTTGCCACGTGCTTGCAAGTGCACTTAGAATTTAACAGCGTGTCCATTTCCGTAATTGAACGTTGATCACCCAAGAGAACAAAATCATCTCCGTGGACGAAAAGCCTCGATCCATCAAATGGGTTGTAGAATATAGATGGGTTCGTCTTCCCCGGAACGTAACCCTTCTTAGCCAAAAGGTCGGTGTAGTTCTTCTGCCACAGGTGGCTTGCGTCCTGAGTTCCGTACATGGTCCTCTGAAGCAGCCCAACATGAGTGTGTCTGTCGGGATCTCCCTCTGGCAACTTGACAAACAGCCTCCGCTCGCACTTCGACATGAAGTGTGCCCGCGAGATGTCCCAGAACGCTAGCTTGAGCTCGGCGCCCCTGGAACTCCGCTGTTGCGTCGCCTGGATACTGCAGAGAAGCTTCAAAGCCTCCAACCACGGCATGGCGGAGAACAACTTCTCCGGACTCAGCTGCTCGAACTTCGCCTTCTTGCCCTTCGTGGCCTCCATCACGACCAATCGAGAACGCACGACAGGTTTATTAGCGTCGCCCTTGTTGGTGTCAATCCAGAGCAGCGGAATCGCAGTAGCGCCCTCGCTCTCCATGACCTCCCGCGGGACCTTGGTGTACACGCCCTCCTTGGCAACCCAGTCCCGCTCCAACTGCCTAGCGTCCTCCACCAACTTCGTCGGTAGAATCCCGCCGTTGACGTCGTCGTAATACGTTTTCCACTGTTCGTCGCTGTACACCTCCGGCTCCTCAGCTATGGGCCCAGCCGTGCAAATGTCCATACTCGACAACTCCATCCGGTGAACAAGCTGATCACGAACCACACGTAAAATCGCATACATCAGCCTCGGCGGATATATCTGCGTAGACCTCACCTTCTGAAAACCAACTGGACGTACATGCCGATACCAACCACTCTTGCCCTGCAGGCTCACACGCTCGTCCTGCAGCATAGCGGCCAACTCTCGCGAGTTCGTTAACCACGACGTTTCTCTGCGCACGTATCCAGATCTTCCGCTCTGGATGGTGCCTGCCAGCCGCCATTTGCACATGGGACCGGCCACCTTGTACACTCCCGGCATGTTCTCCAGCTCCGCCATGATGTCCTCGTCCCTGGAGGTGGTAATCCCAGGAACCTCATGCAAAAACAACTTGCCCATCTTGATCTGCTTCCGGTACGCGTCGACACTCGCTCTCAAGTGCCTCCGGCCGTCCTGCATCTCTAAGCTCACGGTGTTTGGGTCCAAGTTTACTCTCGATGGCGACCGAAGCCTCGAAAACACAGTACTCGATGGACACCCGATCAACACCTCAGGCTTGTACTTGTCCTGGAGCTTATCTAACATGTCTATGTCCTCATCCCGTGAAAGGTCCCAGAACTGCCCGTCAGGTCGCTGAAGTTGTAAATCAATGGCGAACCCTGCACGAAGTCCAAGACGACGATTGCCTCGGGAAAGGACCTCACTGACGTCCATTGCGGACATCTCGACTGCTATCCGGGATACCCCCCGGATGCCCTCAGAGTCGCCCTCGAACTCCGAGCCGGTGTAAAACTCCGTCACGTGCTTAACCGTCTCTGCGAAGTACTTGTCCTTGTACGCAGAGAACGCACCCACGTCTGCATTGTGCGCCTGGCCCACCGCCGGCGCCGATTTTTCTGAGATGCCACTCGTCCCAGCCATGGCTCCTGAGCTCGAGCCCGCGGCGGGTGCCGCCGTCGATGCACTCGAACCGCCTGCCTGCACGTCCGGCCTGGGCACCGCCGGGTCGATGTCCTCCAGGGGCACTCCGGCCGGTCTCTTCCGAGGTCCCGGGGATGCCGGCCTCGCTTTCGAGCTCGCTGGTCCTGCGCTCGATGGCTGTCCTGCTCGCTTAGGCTGCCGATGTCGCACTTCATGTTGCGCTCGGGCTTCACTACCTGCATGTGGTCCCCCTTCTAATTGTAGATGGGGCTGTGGGGGAGGTACCCTGGTCTCTGTCCTAACCTCCGGCGCATCCTCCAACATCTCTCCTCCTATGCCCTCCTCCACAGTCATGTCCACCTCCTCCTGCTCCTCCTCCGGCTTCTCGCGCACGGCGTCCTCCACCTCAGGCTCCTGCTTGGCATCTGGCGCTGCCGTCGAAGCCTTCTTCCGTCTTCTCGCCGCCGCTAGCCGGAGACGACCGTCAGGGTCCTTCTCCATCGCCTCCACGATCCGTGAACGACACGTCGGTGCATGGCCCTGCCTGGTCGAACCTCCGAAGAATATCTCCGTGCAGGCCGGGCACTCCGGCGTCAGGCCGTACTTCTCCGTCATCTTGGCTGTGATGTACACGTCCCTCTTGAGCCCTTCCTGGGCCCCAGCGGCGCCTGGAAGAGGTAGAATAGGAAGTCCGACAGCCTCACGTCCTTCTAGAACCTGTGGTGCACGCCCCGCGCGATGTGCTACATCCCATGGCAGACCCCGAACTTTATCAAGAAGAGCTAGATCAAAACGTTCACCGTGGGGTCGCTGCCGGAACGACTTCGCGTAGCGAACTCCGTCCTCCGCCAAGATAATAAGGCTGCCTGACCGTGCAGAATGGCCGACGTACACACCCGGAATCATGATGTTCTCGTAGTCGCGCTTGCCAGCCCTAATCGCCGCCAGCCTCGCCATAATGCACTCTCCGAACAATAATGCCGGTTTCTTCCACCGCCTGCCAGTTGACCGCTGCACCGGCGTACGTCCGTCCTCACCGACTTTGTACCGATTGGACGTCTGAGCCACGTGCCGCGCAAGCCACGCTAGGAGCACGTGGTCCTCAGCGAGCTTCCTTCCATACCGGTCTTCGGTGGACGTCTTGAGGGCACGGATGCCCTTCTTAGCCTCGCGGACACCACTCTCAGCCGCACCATTGGCCTGGTGATCGCTCACAGGCGACTCCCGTGGCACAACTTCGATCTGCATGTCCTTCACAGCCTCCCTGCGCAGTTTCAACAACGCAGGCTCGTTGTCGCTCTTCAAGATGATCCTGCGGTACCCTAGCTCCACCAAGAAATTCGTGAAGTACTTCGCCGCATACGTGCTCGTCTTGCCGTCCAAGACAGTCGCGCCGATCATGCTGGTGACCCGGTCCTTGATGAAAACGTGCGTCGCAGCCTTCTCTCTTCCTCGCCCATGTAGAAGTAATCCGTGACGATCTCCGGAATCGCCTCCGTGCTCTCCGGGTCGTCCTCCACCACCTCGCGATGAGGTTGCCCGTAAGCCCTTGCAGCCACACAGTGCCTGCACCACGTCCGGCATTGAACGTGCCCTTGAAGTTCATGTTCCTCCACCTCCTCCCGTGACGGCTGCACGGGAATCTTCCGAGTCTTCGGACGCTGCGCTTCCTCCGATGCGTCCAGCTCCTGCCCTTGCGGCTCACGATCCCCGGCGGCGGGCTCGCCGAGGGCCGCTCTTGGGCTTACAGCCTGCCGGCCTGCCTCCGGCCCCCCGCCGGAGCCGAAGAATTGGCCGCCGCAGCCTCCATGGGAGCCAACTCCCGCTTTGACCTCGAAGCGTCGTCGTCCGGCTTCGCCCATTTAGTCGGGAACACCGTGCACGCAGCGCCCGTGTCCAGGTTGAACTTCCACAGCTCGTTCGTGCCGTCGTTCTTGTTCAGGTAGAAGTTGTACACGCCTCTCTCCTTCTTCAGCTTCAGCAGCTCCTGCTTCGGTGACGCCTCCAACTCGTTTTGGATCACCTCGTTGATCTTCTTGGCAAGGTTACTCGTCCTAGGGATCACGTTGCCGGTGTGCTCCTTCAAGATGACCATGCAATTCTCCGTGACTTTGCCTGCCGACACCAACGGCTTGTGGATGTCCGCCAGGCGCCCGTTCAACCGGAAGAGCTGGCCATTCAAGGAGCAACCAAGAAACTGGAACGGACCCTCGTCGTCCACGACCTCGCCACTCGCAGTCTTGAAGCTGTTCATGTCCACGGAGTTGACCTCGAGCTCCGGCTTCCTCAGCTCCACCTTGCCACGTTGAGGGGGTGATGACCTACTCCTCTGGGCCCTCGAACGCGAACGAATGTCAATGCCGTCACTGCGAGACCTCGTCGCCGTACGAACCACTCCGTGTCCAAGTCCAGTGCCATGGTCACGTTTAGCTCCGTTATCTCGTCCGTCTCGCTGGTCAGAGCCATCTCGATGACGATATCCAGCTCCGCTATCTCGTCCGGCTCGCTCGTCACATCCAGCTCCATAATCGCACCTAGCTCCGGTAAGTGATCCATCTCGCACGCCAGATCCGTCTCGACAGTCAGACCTAGATCCGGTATGTCGTCCAGCTCCCTTGTCAAATCCGTGTCCATAGTCAGACCTAGATCCGGTATGTCGTCCATCTCGCACGCCTGACCCGTGTCCATAGTCAGACCTAGATCCGGTATGTCGTCCATCTCGCACGCCTGACCTGTGTCCATAGTCAGACCTAGATCCGGTATGTGGTCCAGCTCCGTTGCCAGATCCGTGTCCCTCGGCACGCCAAGGAGCGTTATGCAATCCGGCTCGAGTGTCAGACCCATGATGGGGATGATTTTGACGACGATGATCGTGAGGATGAGCATCATGACCACTTCCGGCTCCATCGTCGCGCCGGCCCCCGCCGTTGCGACGCCCGTCGTCGTCGCGCCAGTCTCGTGCGGGAGAGCGTGTCCTCGGGTTGCCGTGCTCGTCGAAATCGTCGCTGGTGATGCTCGTGAGAGGGCACAGGTCGAGGGTGCACAATTCAAACGCCCCCGTCTCATGAGCTCCTCCTTGATCATGGTCATGCTCGTCCTCCTCTCCTTCCTCCTCAACAGAACGAAGTGGACGTCGATTACGATCTCGATTCTTATCCCCCTTGCCGTCTGACTTGCCTCCTTTCGGTCCTGATCCTCGTGCTTTGCCTTTGGTGTCCTTACCCTTGGAGTCCCTACCTTTGCCTTTGGGGTCGCTCTTTCCTCCACGGCCTTTGCCGTCCTGGGGAGCTCTCCGGCAGTCGGAACTGCGATGTCCCCAGCCCCCGCAATTAAAACAGTAACCGTCGAAGCCCTTGCCGGACTTGCCCTTGCCGTCCTTGCCCTTCGGGTGCCTCTGGAGGGATCCCATGTCCACGTCCATGTCGCTGCCACGGTCTCGATGACGATCATGCTGCTGAACCTGTGGTCCACGAATCTTGGCTCCGAGCCGCGCCTCCACGTAACGCACGATCTCGGTCCTCATGTCCATGTAGGTGCCGAACCTCGTGGCGTTCAGCTGCAGGTGCGTCTCCAGCTCCTGGGGGACAAGGCTTTCGAGCGCAGCCATTTTTATGTCCTCTGGTAGGGCCCGGGCCTCTCCCCGGGACGTTTTGGAGCGCTCGTACCTCGTCACCAACTCCTCCCAACGCTCCAAGCCGCCCGCAATAACGTCCATGGAGCACCTCCCGGGGTTGATGATCTGCCTAAGTAGGTTGCGAACCCTACCCCCAGTAAGTGGGTCGAACCGTCTGCTTAACTTCCGCCAGGCTTCCATCCCGTTGGACCCAGAGTTGCACACGATGTCATTGGCCTCGCCCTCTGTGATCTGGACCAACATGCTGTACACCTGGTGGGACTTCTCCAAAATGTCATCGATCTTGTTGGCTGGATCCGCATCGTCGCCAAAGGCCTGCAGCAGTATGTCGTTCGTGATGGTCTCCTTATTCTCGATGGCCCATTCCATCACGTCGTCCAGAGACGGGTGCACGCTCATGATGAAGTTCTGGGTCTTCCTCTGCCACACGCCGAACTTCTTCTCTAGATCCTTCTCGTCCCCGCCTCCAAACGTAGTGGGTTTGCCTATGCCCTTGGTGTCCACAAGGGATGACGACCCACTCTTCGCAGCCATCTTGTCGATCGACGTCGCGAGGCGCTCGATGACCGACGTCTTGGCCTGCTCCGCCGCAAGCTGTTGACGTAGTAATTGAATGTCTTGTTGTTGACGTTCCAGCGTCGCCTGAAGCTGTTGCACAATCTGCTCCATTGTGTCGAACTCTACCTGAATGTTGAACTCTACCTTTATGTTGAAGTTAACCCTGGTGTTGAACTCTGGCTCAAGCCGTTCACGAAATAAACGAACCTATCGAGGAACGGGTGCGCGCGTATTGGGCTCTACCAGTGCGCTACCATAATCAAGTTAGCTTGCTTTTTCACTGAACCAAACGGCTATGGATACATCCCTACCTTACCTGCATCTTCCTACCTTCCCATGCTAATGATACACTGCTGCATGAACACATGAGCACTCTGATCACACAGGAAACAACATAGCAACGCATGCAATGACATCATGGAGTGTACACATCATAACATAACACCACAAATCATAGCAAGCAAGGGCAGAACACAGCATACCATAGCGTACCACAACGGAGCATAACATGTCACACACTGGCATAACACATCATGATACAACATAGAGTCGCTGCAAATCATGACATGACAAAGCATTTCACCACATGGTAATACTTTGTATTCCAACATAAATCAACCGCGACGTACGCGCCGACGTCAAGCTGGCCACAAGGGCAAACATGTGCAGCAACGCACGATCGGGCGACGTATCTATCGTGACAGGCGTCACGGCGTCACGCCAGCCCGTCGAGGACAAAACCAACATAATAGAGCACAACGCAATATAACATGATCAAGCCAACACACTACAACTAATAGAGCGCACCGTAGCCAGCATACCATAACACAACTGCTGTACTATTGCTAGCCCTACGCCGGCGATATATAAAGCCTGTGCATTCACCAAACTCTGCCAGGCTCTTGAAGGGGGCCCCGAGAGAGACGATCCCACTTTTTCCTTCAATGCGATGAAGCGCGAGGCGGGAAGCACAGAGCTGCCCAGCCGGGCAAGGAGCAACAAACTGTCAGCGACTCGTTGAAAGCAGGCCCTCCAGGGAAGAAAGAAGAAAGAGAAAGCGAGGGAGGGGGGGGAGGAAGAGCTTGAACCGTAACAACGTACGGCCGAGAACATACATTGCAAGCATACAGTCATGAACACAACCAGCTTGTGCATCCACCAATCTCTGCCAGGTTCTTGAAGGGGGCTCCGAAAGAGACGATCCCACATTTTCCTTCAATGCGATGAAGCGCGAGGCGGGAAGCACAGAGCTGCCCAGCCGGGCAATGAGCAAAAAACTGTCAGCGACTCGTGGAAAGCAGGCCCACACCCGCAGGAGAGAAATGGCCCCACGGCCGCATCACACACCAAAGCGATCAGCTATCGCTTCCGCGCGTTGCCGATCAACGGCAAGAGTGAGAACAGAAGCGATCTGCGTGCGCAGCTGGCTAGGGTATGGGCAGGCAGTCGCAGTCCAGTGACGGTTACTGACAGGGTCACGGCCGACGAGCTCGAGGTGAGCGCGCCGGCGCGCGAACATTTACCAGCAATAGGGCTGCAGCGGCGGCCCAACTTCAGACAATTGGCGCCAACGTGCCAGAAGGCAATCCTGGTCCTCTTGCGCCAGGGCATGCCAAACTGGCAACAATCAAGAACAACTTCATGGCAGCACGGATGAGACAAGAACTATTTTATGGCAGGTACCTGCCAGAACAGAGAGGTGTGAGGGTTCTCAATAGCCACAGGACAGGTTATACAGTATGCACAGGCGAATGATCTTGAGGCTGAAATCTAAAAACAGGTTTCCCACGTTCACCGCTGCCAAGTCCTTTTTCAGGAAGGCCGGGGAGGCCAAGGGGGAAGAGGGAAGAGCGGAGAGGGGGGCGCCTAGCAGCGGAGAGCGTGGTGCAAGGGGTGGCTAGCCAGACGCAGCACACCGCCTTCGCGAGGATCCATCCTCGCACACGGCGGGCAAAGGCAGGGATGAGATGATTTTCAGCGGCGTGCTGCAAAAAGTCCAAGCCTATGGCACCGCGGTGGGAGCGACGGAGCTGCTTGGTGAGCCTGGCGCTCTGCCGCAGAAGAGTTCGAGAAGGCGCGCCGCCGAAAGACGCGCCCGCGCTGCGCCGCTCGTCGGAACGCTTGGGCGAAGTGTCTGTCGACGTCCTTGCCCGAGGCTGTCAGCGCAGCGGCTTGCCCGAGCCGCGGAGGGCCTGGAGGGCGCGAAGGGGCAGGAGCTCCAGCACTTTGCTTCCGACCAGGCCGCGCTCGACGACCAGGGCGAAGCGCGCCTCCACCTCGCGGCCGAACTCGAGGGTCGAGCTCGGCACCTGGTTCAGCTGCGACAGCACCAGGGTCTCCTTTCCGCATAGGGGCAGTCTCTGGTGGCCTGGGGCTCGGCGCCCCCAAGCTTGGGCGCGCCGACGGGCCCTGGGCAGGGCCGCCCGCACCTGCTTGCCGATCGACGGGTAGAGGCGAGCGACCGCCGCGAGCAGCTTGCTGCCGTCGGAGCCCGGGCGGCCGTCCATGCACAAAGTATTCTGGAAGGCTGCCAGTGCCGCGCCCCGCCCCGCGCGCGAGTTCCAGGGGGCGCCCTGCGCCGTGCAGAACAGGCGGAGGTCCGGCAGCAGCGCGTGGTACGACCTCTCCGTGGTCGCCTTCACCGCCGTGCGCTCCAGCGCCGACAGGGTGGGCAGCGCCGGCCTCTCGGCCGCAGCCGCGCGAGCCCGCGCGGCTCGGTCCTGCCGAAGGCGCTCGGCCACCGGCCGGCGGCGCGTCCGGCTCCCGGGCATCCCGGGCGGCAGCGCCTGCAGGTTGTGAAGGGCAGCTTGGCTCGCAAACGGTGGCGGAAGGTCCTGGGGGTTGAGCCTTAGCGGAGGCGGCAGCAGCAGCCCCTGAAGTAGCAGGGCACGACTTCGCACGCCGGCTGGGGCCACTGAACCAGCCCAGCTTCCCCCGGGAGCCCTTGTCAGACGGGTTGAGCTCTGGGGGGCAATGCCAGGTAGCCACGCGGGTCCCTGTGGCCAAGGAGAGGCAGCATACTGTACGCAGAGCAGCACGTAGATGAATTGACTTAGCACGGCCCTTGCAAAGGCCCAAACAGAACGGTAGATTGTCCACAATGAGAACGAGTTTAGCTCCTAAATTGTGCGAAGATCGTAGAACGTGGCAAACGGCAAGCACGGCAGCATCTCCTTCGAGGCCCAAGATGTTGCCCGGGACAACCACCTGGGACGCCAAGACAGTATCCCACTTGGAGGCCTCCGAGAGCTCGGCAGGGACCTCCCCTAAGACAGCCGACTTAGAATTTATGTATGACATGATGTCGTCGTCCCCAACGCCCGCGATGATGTTGTTCGCCCCCGGCAGGTGCTCGGCGGACTCGGCAAAGTCACTGGAACAGGAAGGCAGTGGAGACGAGCCAAGGGCACACAGGCGAGCTTTTTCGGCACCGGCAGCGCGATACCTCCAGAGCTCGCTGCACTGCGCGACCGCGCCAGCAGTCGCTCGGGCTATGTGGCGATGGCAGACAGCCAACCCGAACGGTGAAGCATCACTGCAGCGCAAGTCCGACGACCACTGAGCCCGCCAATCCACGCGGCAGAGCGGTAGCAAGCACCGAATGCGCCAGAGCTCCTGTCACGCACGAGGCCACAACGTTTGCTGGGAGGATGAGTCGAGGTACTTCTGTGTGAAAGCATAGCACTCGTCTAAGAGACGGAGCCCCTCGCGACGCAGAAAAGTAGACCACGCGATGTGCCCAGTTATGCACTGCATCATCTTGCCCGAGGCCTTTCCCCGGCGAAGCAAAGATTCAATGCCCAAGCGCAGGCGCCAGACATTCTCAGTCTTCAGGCTCGCGGCGCGCCCCTCCGTCATCTGGAGCCCCACGAAGCCCATCTCCCTCGGCGCCTCTGAAACCTCGTGAACGACGAGCCCCTTGCCCTGGAGATCCGAGATGATAGCTCGATTAACCTGGTTCGTCTTCACTGGCAGAGAACACAAGGAAGTTGTCGACGTAGGCGGCAGCCGCGACAGCGGTGGGTGACGAGAGCCTCGGTGGAACCTGGCCGTCCTCGATCGCCTGGTGGTCCTGGGTCCCGACGTCCCGGAGCGATTGCCTAACTACCGCCCGGCACAGATGCGTGGCCCAGCTCCACCCCATTGGCAAGACAACGAAGCAAGGTGAGACCGGGGTGCCTGGGCCAAGCGGGATTCCGTCTATCTCGTGGACCCCTACGTGGTCAGAAGAGATAAAAGGGAGGCCGAAATACTCCTCGAGGCCATCGGGGACTCTAAGGTGATAAAACGCACAGCTTAAATCGCCCGACGCCCCAAAGGCCCCCTCGGGACCAGTTTGAAAACCCGAGAAGGCCGACGAGGTGGGGAGGCGGGTCGAAGCCTCCTCTGCGAAGTAGCAGTTGCAAACTCTGGCGTCGAAAATGACGCGAAGCTGGCCGTTGCGTTTTGCGACAAAAAATACTCCTAGAAGCCCAGGCTGGGGAGACTCGCGACGCCGCGCGAGCATCCCACACCGCCGGAGCTGAATCAAAAAGTCTCTACACCGGGAGGGGGGGCGAAGGGCAGGGTCAACGTAAGGGCCGTTCGTGCAGATCGAACGGCGCTTGTCATTTGCTACTTCAACCGGCAAAAGCAAATTATCACGCCAAGACCTTAGCCAATCACGATCGACCTGGGACAGACAAGACTCCACATGGTGGGTCTGGATCCGACCTCAGGCCAAGCCACGAGGTGGCGTGCATAAGGCTTTCGGGTAGAGCTATCAGGGTAGATGGCCGACCCGGCAAGAAGCTCACGGAGGGCTTCCTTGCTGTTCAAATCTGCCGGATGGGCGCCCACCTGCTTGAAACAGCCCAAGACGTGCTGGCGCGCGAAGCGCTGGGACAAGTTGAGAGGAGGAGGAGGGGGGCCAGGAGGGCTGGAACAAGAGGCTTGCGGGAACCCATACAGCTGGTTAAGGCAACTAATGGCGGAGTCCGCCCAATCCAACATGCGTGCACGGCGGTGCTCCCTCTGCTTGACTGCGTGGCAAACGCGGGCAAGGCAAAACAACTTCCGTCCGTCTAGACAGCAGAGGTAGCGGGAACAGGTCTCTCTGGCGGTCGGCTTTCTGCGGCGCCGCCGCCGAAGACGAAAATAATGGAGGGGTAGAGCCGGCGCTGTGCTGGCCGCGCTCTGGATCATGCGTCATTGGGTTTCTTGCCCTTGCGGGCCGCTTCTCGTTCTTCTCTAGCCTTCAGTCGTTCCTTCAGCAGGGCGCGTTCGCGGGGGAGCTCCTTGGCCACCCACTCGGTGAAATCGGGGCACGCGCAAACCCCGGCTCGAACGATGTCCACTCCGTAGTAGAGGTGAGCGTCGCCGACAGCGTCCTCCTTGTGGCCGCTAAGTCGCTCCCTCCAGCGCTCCTCCTGGACCTGATGTGAGCGGGCAAGGTGCTCGGCCGTCGCGCAGTTGGGCAGGTTCATCTGGTCGTAGTACGCCATCGTCTCGAGCCGACGGCAGCGCCGCTCGTGCTCCGCCACCCCCGCGTCCTGCGGCTGGAGCTTAGCATCATGCTTCCAGCGCGCGTCGCCCTGTCGGCGACCCGCCGTTCTGCCCGATGTAGCGACGCGCCCGCATGCGTGAGCGGGGGCCCTTGATGGGCCAGTCCGGGAAGGCGTCCTCCCGGAAGCCCATCACTGCTTTCTCGAAGGCCACCCGGCGCTCGCCCAGCAAGTCGAACTGGATCGGCGCCACCCTCAAGTCGAAGTAGCTCCCGAGCCCGCCTGCGCCCGCGATCGGCGCGGCAACGCCGAGCGCCCCGCCTGCCGCGGCACCTGCGGCAAGCGCTGGGGCGGCTGCCGCCGCCGCCGCACCAGCCAGGGCGGGAGCGCCTGCGCCTCCTGCCGGGGCGCCCAGGGCGGCCGCGCCCGCGGCGCCCGCGCCGCCGCCGGGGGCTGGCCCAGCCGCGGCCATGGCGGCGGGCAGCGCCAGCGCTCCCGCAGGCACCGGCTGCGCTGCACCGCCGAGAGCGGCCGCGAGCCCGCCAGGCCCCGCGGCGGGGGCGAGGGCTCCGGCGCCGGCCCCATCGCCGCCTGCGGGGGCACCCGGGACAACCGCAGCCGCCCCTGCGGCCGCGCCCGCCGGGCCAAAGCCCCCTCTCCCGACAGCGTTGGGGAGGAGCTGGCCGGGCGGCGCGGCAACGCCGTGCCTCGCGCAGGCTGCGACTCGAGCGGCAGCGGCCGTCGCGGCTGTCGGGGTGGCCCGAATCTGGCGCAAGGGAACGGCCCCGACGCCCTCTGGAATGCCTCCTGCCGCCGCGCCCGGCGCCACCTGTATCTCGACGATGTCTGGCCCGTTGAAGTCCTCGTCGTACTGGTCCCCATCAGGGGTGACTATGGACACTAAATGCCCGGCATTGCTAACAAGCAGGATGACCAAACGTTCGTGCCAAAGCCGCGGGGCGTAGTTGTAGCGCACGTACACAAAATCGCGAGCCGCCAGGCCGTGAGTCAACGCGACCGGGTGGGCCGCCATCCCGCCTAGCGGCGAGCCTGGGCTGCCGCTGCTGCCTTGCGCGCCAGTCGCCTCGCCTCCTCAGCCACGTCCTCGATCGCGGGCGACGCTGTGGAGCAGGCCACTTCGACCGAGGGCAACGTCGGGGCCCCGACCGGGGCCGAGGTCGCAGACGTCGAGATCTTCGGCGACGACGGCCCCCACGCAAGGCCGACGGCCTGCGCCCGCGGCCACCCCGAGGCAGCCCAGCAAGAAGACGACGGAGATGCCCTCCTGGTGGAAGGCGCTGTTCGGCGAGAACTCCAGGCTCGGGCACTGGGGGTGGGGATCGCACTGGCACTCCGGGCAGCTGGGGCGCCCCAGCGTCGGGCAGAGGCCGCAGGTCACCACCGGCTCGCAGGCAGGGCGCTGCTGGGGGCCGCTCCGCGCGATGAGCGCAGTGGAAACACCGCGGGCGATCTCAGCCCCAGCACGCGCGAAGAACTGATGCATCGACGGTGTGTGACCCAAGGGCTTGAGCCGTAACAACGCACGGCAGAGAACAGACATTGCAAGCATACAGTCATGAATACAGCCATACATACACACAAGGTTGGCTATATTCTTCATGTAACATACTGTGACAAACGGAGCATACCCTGAGCAGCGCCACGGATAATAGCATAACAAAGCCACACTTGACATAACATACGTATCATCGCATGACGTAGCGCCACAGAGCAGGGCATATCAGATCATAGCATATCATATCATACAAGGACAAGGGTCAACATAACAGAGCACACTATAACAGAAAAGAAACGCAACATTGAACAATTCTTCATAATATTCTGGGCCGCGCTGCAACATAATCAAACGAGGCGTGCGCGCCGACGTCAGCCCGGCTAGAGGTACAAAGGGGTGCAGCAACGACCGATCGGACGACGTATCTAGCGTGATAGGCGTCGCGGCGTCGCGCCGTCCCGTCGACAACATAACTATACTGTAGCATAGCAGGATAATGCTGCTTTCGAGCTGGGGTGGGGAACTGCGCCAGCAGTAAATATTGCTTTAACAGTGGTTATATTTTCGTGAACATAACAGAATCTTCGCGGTTCTGTAACGCGTTACAGCACCTGCTGAGCGACGCCACTCTTGAAAGTCCCAAACAGTTCGAACATTCGGAAATAAGGAAGCGGCAGCATGGAAAAATCCCCGGGCTGGCGGCGGGGGCCAAAAACAGCAGCAACCGAGAGCTGAACGTGCAAACCACCAATCCCTAAGCAGCGCAAGCCTAGCGGCGCGGGGAACCCCAGGGAGCGGGGTGCGAGTATCCAAACGCCCTCACACCGAGAGAGACCAAGGGGTCCACGCCGAACACGACAGACACGCCCCTAGCATCATTCCTGTGCCCGCGCGCCCATGCTGCTTTCGAGCTGGGGCGGGGAACTGCGCCAGCAGTAAAGATTGCTTTTGCTGTGGCTATTTTTTCGTGAACATAACAGTCTTCGCGGTTCTGTAGCGCGTCGCAGCAGCTGCAGAGCGACACCGCTCTTGAAAGTCCCATGGCATCCCAGAAACGGATGTTCGTTCACACTTGAAAAAAGAAACGCCTGGCCCTGGACATGAGGCGTTTGGCCAAAACCCTATTCAAAGCCTGCGGGCACGTCTGGGCCATGGCGGCCCATCGTACACCCTCCGGGGAATCGCCCTCGAGCTGAGGATGGGGTCGGCCGGTCCGAGTGCAAACGCCGGCTCGCCCGCCGCTAGTCTCACTCGACCTAGTGAGCTCGTCGGGGCGGAGATGGCTCATCAAGCAACGCGCCCGCTCTCGCCGCCTAGCTCCGAACCGGAAGAAATCTGTCACAACGATTGAAACGATACGCTTCTGAGCGAGATCAACTAACTCTGGGGTCCTAAACATGTAGCTGCTATGCGGGTTCTCTAATATATACGGAGTGCCCGGGCGGTTACAGGCTGCGATTATCTTCAACACTGCGCGAAGACATTTGTTACCTACGCTGAGCTTCAACCAATCTTTGTCTGACATCTGAGAGCGAGAAAAACCCCGAGGGCGGGTCGTGCTTCTGTTTGGGGCGGGAGAAATCTTGGCAATTGAAAAGGAAGCGCGCGGCGGCGCAAGCATCGCGCCCGGGCAAACACCGACTGGACATCTGACACAAGGCGACGGGGCACTTTTCTGCGAGTCAGGTCTCCGCGCTCACCGCGCTGCAGCTCCCATGTCCGCGCCTGGAAGCCGCGCCTCCCGATGGCGCGCGCAGCGCCACCCTTGCCGGCGAAGGCGTCTGCGAAGCGCGCGTCTCTCGCACGCAGACGCCCGCGGACGGCGAGGGGGCGACCAGTCCGTGGGGGATGATCGCCTCGGCGCGTCGCTCGCACTCGGCGGCGTACCTCTGGATCTCGATCGGGTGCTCGCGGTAGCCGCTGGCGAGACGTGCGTGTCGCTCGTAGCGTAGCGCGCTCCTGTCCGCTCGCCACTGCCCTCTCTTCTTGATGTCGGCCAAGCTTCTGAGGTGCCGGGCCGCGTCGATGGACGGCCCCGAGTGACGCGCCTGGCATGGCGCCAGCTTGGGCGCGCCGATGTCCCGAGCCGCGCGCCGAAAGAACTTCGGCAGGTCGCTGTAGTTGAAGGTCCACAGCGGGCCGTCTCCAGCCGCATCCTTCAGCTCCCTCAACGCAGGCCCGATCGACTCCGCCCAGCTGGAGTCCAAGAGGGTCGAAACGTTCGCCTCGCCGATCTTGCTCCTGCCGGGCAGCTCCTCGGGTGGGCCAGCAGAGACGAGTGGGCGGTCAGCCCCTGGGTCGGAGGCGTCAGTCCCGCGCCCTGCACGCTGAGTAGCTGACCAGGTCTCAGGTAGGTGCTCATCATGATCAGCACAAAGAGGGCCATGTCTCGCCGCCCCAGAGTCACCAGGGCGTTCATGAGGCCGAACCACACTCCGAGCGCCTCGGGCTTCCGCGAGCGGCCAGGGCACAACTTGTACCACCCGCGGAGCGCTCGCCAAGCTCGCGGCAGGCGCTTGGAGCCCAGGCGGTTGAAGCTCGGGTGGAGCAGCCAGCCCGCCAGAGTCTTGGCTCCTCGCGAGGCCTCCACGCCTGCGAATAAGGTCTTCTCGAAGTATCCGGCGAAAAGGCCGTCCAGCTCGGCGTCCCCGACGCGGTCGACGCTCCTCCCCCTCGACTCGACGTGCTGCTTGAAGCGGTTCACCTCTAGACGGTACTCGGTGTGCACGGGCCTTGTCACTGCTCGCTTCTCCAGCAAGGTCAGCCCGCCCTCGTGCGCCTCCATGGTCTCCTCGAGGTACTTGCGCAGGCGAGACTCGGACCGATCCAGCAGCACGCGCTGCCGCTTCGCGCCTGCGGCCCCGCTGGCGGATGTGGTGCCAGTGCTCGACGAGGGCGAGCGCGTCCGCCGGCACCGATCGGGCTGCCTGGCGAAGTCGCCGCTCGCTAGGTCGGGCATGGCTGCGGCCAGTTGCTCCAGCGTCTGGTGAGCCTTCGCCGCCGCCTGGCCCTCCACTGGGGCAGCCAGGCGGGGGGTCGGTGAGCGGCCCAAGGCGCGTTCCCGCCGCGGCCGTCCTACAGCTCGGCCCACCTGGGCGGGGGTCGCCGTCAGCCCGCGCGTCCTCGCCCGAGGCAGTGGCGCGGCTGAGGCTGCGAGCCTGGCCGCTGCAGCGCCTCGGGACGGCGCTCTCGGCGCTGGGGCGGCCACCAAGCTGCCGTCGGTAGAAAAGGGCCCCAGGACGGCCCAAGACGCCTCCAAGACGGCCCAAGAGGCCACCAAGACGGCCCCAGGAGAGTGCCCAGACAGGGGACCCGAACGGATATTTCGAGCCCCATCAAGCCCCCAAGAAACCCCGAAGAAACCCCAAGAGGCCCCAAGAGGCTCCCAAGGGGCCCCCAAACTGCTCCCCAGAGGCCTTCGAGAGCGCTCGGAAGAGACCCCAAGAAGCACCCCTGAGGACTCAACCCGCAGCAGCGTCGTGGTCGCTACCGCCGCCGCCGCCGTCGTCGTTCCCCTTCAAGGACGGGTCCTGGAGCTCAAAGAGGCCTCTGGACGAGCGAAGATTGCCCCGATACGCCTTCAAGACAGTTCAAGAAAACGTGCCGTTCGCAGCCTCTGGAGGGCCCCATAGGCCTGCAAGACGGCAACGGGTGGTTTTTCAACGTTTTCCGGCCTCCGGAGGTCGTTTCCCGGCCCCGGAACCGCCAAAAAACGATTCAGGATGAAAAATTGGTTCTCAGGCAAGGGTCCAGACCTTAGAGCCTACGTCACAAAAAGATCCGACGTCGGATATCTGGGAAGGTACGACGCACGGCGGGTTCGGCTCGCCACGACGTCGGCGCTGATTCCCGACGCCGCGTGGAGCGTTCAGCCTTGAGCGATCGGCGGCTTCCAGATAAGCCGGATCGTTCCATATGGCACGATTCCGGGACACCAGCGGCATTCAACCTTGGACGACCACGGTCGCCGCCGCGCCGACGCGTCGTGAACCTACCGTATCGCCTGCCTGCTGAGGCCGGTCAGCTCTGCAGGCGGCTCTTTTCGGGAGTTTTTCTTGGAGATAGCACCCGTCCGAAAGTGGCGTGTTCCTCATGTAATGGATGGAGCCCCCCATCCAGCCACCACGTAGACGTAGATTCGCATTCCTCGAACGCTTGATCCGCCACCGTACCCCCTGGCACGTTGAGGCGTGGAAGAACGCACAGTGCTGTCTGGTAGAAAGACCCCGCACCTCACAGACCGCGGATCCTCCCATGAATCCCCGAAGAAGCGAAAACCAGCGATATCCCTTAACTCTTTAATAGATTCTCGCTTCGGGCATCCGTCCGCTGAAGACAGCACAAGATGCCTCCGATATGCCCCAAAGACAGCCAAGAGAGCCCCAAACTGACCCAAGAGGCCTCCAAGACGGCCTCAAGATGGCGCAAGAGGGGCCCCAAGAGAGCCCCAAGCTGGCCCAAGAAAACCTCTGGAGGGATCCAAGACGGCCCAGGAAGGCCACCAAGACAACCAAGATATATCAAGATGCCTCCAAGACGCCCAAGATGGCTCCAAGACGGCACGACGGCCCAAGATGACCTCAAGGCGGCCCAAGAAGCCATCAAAACCGCCCAAGAGAGCTCCACAAGGATCCTCCAAAAGGCCAGAAAAAAGAAAACATCACCGATTGCCTAAACAGTTGTTGAACGATTCTCGCTGCGAACATCCGTCCGCTCAAGACGGCCCTAGAAGCCTCCAACGTTGCCCCAAAACGGCCCAAAAGACCCCCGAAATTACCCAATAGGCTTCCAACGCGGCATCCAGACGGTGCAAGAGGGGCCTCTGATGGCCCAGGACCGCACCAAAAAGAGCCCCAAGCTAGCCCACGATGGCCTTCCGAGGAATCCAAGACGGCCCAGGAACGCCACCAATACCACCAAGATGGCCCAAGACAGCCCAAGAGGGCTCCAACATGACCCTCAGGAGTACCCGAAAAGACAAACATCGACAATTTCCTTAAATTATTGATAGTTTTTCGCTTAGGGCTTCCGTCAGCTCAAGACGACCCAAGAAGCCTCCAATATTACCCCAAGACAGCCCAGGAGAGCCCCAAATTGCCCAGAAGGCCTCCAAGAGTGCCTCGAGACGGCGCAAAAGGAGCCCTGGACGGTCCAAGACGGCCTCAAGAGAGCCCCAGGCTGTCCCAAGAAAGCCTCAGGCCTCCTCCTCTTCCTCCTCCTCCTCCTCGTCCTCCTCCTCCTCCTCCTCCTCCTCCTCCTCCTCCTCCTCCTCCTCCTCCTCTTACCCCCCCCCGTGCTCCCCCGCCTCCTGCTTTCCTCTGCCTCCTTCTCCTCCTTTTGCTTCTCCTCCACTTTCTTCTCCCCCCTCCTCCTCCCTCATCCACCTCCTCCACCCTTCCTCCACCTTCAACTGATCCTCCTCCCCCTGCCCCCCCTTCGTTTTCATCTTCGTCGTTCTCAAGGTCAGCGGCACCGGCCGTAAGGCCTTCGCAATGGTGGTTGGTTATGCAACAAAAAGAAACATGCAGTGGTCCCAGAGGCTCTGAAACAGTGCTTCGCTGTGTCAGCCCCCGAAGTTCCAAAACAGTGGTTTAAATTTTCAGAACTGTAGGGCGGCATGCCGACCAAAGGGTTGCATATGGATCATGCGCGGCCACCCCGCGATCACTGTCCATTGTCCATTGGTGTGTGACAAAAACCGCGGAGGTGCTGGCACGTTGCCTACTGTGTGCAGGCCCACCAGACGCCATGATGGCCTCCCCGCCGCGATGGTGCATTGGCTTTCGACTTGGATGGCGGGGGCTGGCATTTTTCCCGATGCGTCCTGTCACGTGCGCGGGCGCACCTGGCACACTCTGCGCGTGCCCCGGACGTGGCGCACCTGGCGCGGCTGGACCATGCGGCACACATGGCGGACGTGGAGCACGTGGCGCATCTGGCGTGCGAAGCGTGCCTGGCACGCTTGGGCCCCGCAGGTGCCTGGCGCACCTGGAGCGCCTGGCACGCGTGGCGAGTTTGAAAGGGGTTGGGAGGCCCAACCAGCAGCTTCGCCTTAGGCGAAACCCAGCTCCCGCTCTGTTGTGCCGTAGTAGCGATAGTCCCAGTAGTAGGGGGCGAGCCATCGCAAGCAGTTTTGGTATCGATGGCACATGGTACACCTCGCGCTGAGGTGTAGTCAGATCTGGGCGGCCGGCCGCTTTGAGCCAAGCAGCCGCGGATGCACGCTCGTTCCCACTCACGTGCAACGCCCAGCTCACTTTAGAGTCGGGGGGGAGGGAGACGAGGCGTGAATCCGCCGCCTCTATATAGCAGGAACAGCAACGACTATTTACAAAAAGGGCAGCAAAAGGGCGGGGCCGTAAGCAAGGTGGGCCCGCACGCAAGTTGCCTTGCCTGCCCTATACTGTGCACACGAATGCTCCTCAGGCGGCTGCAGAACGAGATGGCTGGCCAGCCCGATAGGGAGTATGACGCTTTAAGTCATGTTTGAAGGATTGTGTACCTCCCATGACCTGTAGGAGCATTTCTCTGTCGATGTTCCCCTTGGTGTGACCGTCCGCAATCATATCGCGGGTGTCGCGCCACTGAATACTGTGCACGATTCCTCGATCCATCATCTGTCGTGTCCAGCTGATGTGTCCAAAAGGTACACTCCGTCGGCTTCTTCAAGTCCTTGCTTGACGAAGGCTTAAAAACATACTCAGCATCTATGGTCAAAATGACCTTGATGCTCAGGCCACCCAACTCAAGTATGTTCCTCAACTGAGTGGGAGTTAGCGGCCCTGCGTGGAGCTCGTGCAGAGTCACGATCGTGGGGTAACAGTCCTCCGAGTTGTGGGCAGCTGCTAGCGTCCCTGCCGAGTAGCTCGAGCGGACCTGCAAGCGGTGAGACTTGCAGTGCGCATCGATCAAGTGAACGACGGGCTTACCAGATGGCGTGCTTCCACGCCGTGCACGTTTGCCCCGCGAATACCATGGCCTCTGATCTGGCTTCGTCATCGGCGTCTCCACTCAGGCGTCGGTAACCTGAGTCGCTGCGCAGGTCAACCTCGCCCGTAGGGGTCATCGCCTGGTAGGCGATCTTCTTAGGGCAGGCCTGCAGTTTCCTGGTCATCGCGTTCAGTCGTCGCACTCGTATATTGGTCGGTTCTTGGACGCGCTATGGAAAAACATACACCATCAACCACACCTGGGTGATTACTGCATGTGCCAGTGCGCCTCTAAGGCTGACGGACATGTCTGCAACCATCTTGGATGCCCGAGCGTCAGCGTCGGCGCCGGCAAGTTCTGGATGTTGTATAGGACGGAGCTGCTGGATGGATTCGTCTTGGTCCAAAGTAACACTGCCGTCCTCATCCTTGGTATATATCACAACACAATTGGCGCATGTGTGCTTGATGAGTTTACATTTACCAAAAGTGTCTTCCACGCACTTGACATGCTTGTCAATGGTGTCCTCAGTGCCGGCCATGTTGATATCATCAACATATTTGGCCGTAAGCAGGTTGCTGCTCGCATCGAACTCCTCGTCGTTGGACGTGAGTCTGGGACCAAAACCTCTTGGGGCCCTTCTGAGCTTTAGTGAAAACGCTCGGGGTGCGTCTTTGGCGCCAGTGCCTGGCATAAGGCACTGCAAGCAGTGCTTCGACTCGTCGTAGTGTTCGAATCCTGGGAGAGTTCGAAGCGCCGCGGCCGATCCAGGCGGCAAAGTAAAACACACCACGCGTTTCTTTCCCACCAATTGCTTCAGCAAGCGCCTGGTAGGCCAACCCTTTCAGGAAGGCCATGTTGATGTCGAGGGATGCAATGATCCATTGCTTCTTGCACGCTGCCGTGCTCGCGAGTAGTCTCTGGCTTGGCCGCCGCGCTGTTCCCGAAGAGGTTTCCACGTCGAAGGCGTCGAGGTCCATGAAGCCGCGAAGCACCAAGCGTAAACTGGTGGCACGCTCCATCTCGCTCTCCTCGTTTTCACAAACTTCCATCTGTACGCGTACCTCGAAGTCGTGGTGTTTGACGCTTTAGATCTGTCTTGCATTTCAAAGCACCTCTTGTCGAACCATGTCTTGAGTTCAGTGTATAGGGCTTTCGGTACTTTCTCGGGATTCGCCTGGATGTCAGCCTTCGCGAGGAGGTCGTCTCCCTTGACGACCGCAGCTCGCTTTGCAGCGGCGGCG